TAACAACACGTCGTCCTGGGAAATCACTCGTTTTAGACAAAATTATTAAAACATCGTCAAACAAAACTGACTCTGGCGGCACCAGCAACACCTGCAGGTGGTAACCAAACAAAATAACTCTGATAATTCCTGACGGAGGGCATAAAGTGGAGAGTTATCCAGCAAATGGCCAACCTCACCCTGAACAGCACTTCTCCCTTCTTTACAGCAGCTCTGTCATGGAAACTGTGAGGGTGTCAGGATGGAAAGGACTAAGCCTGCAGAGGATCGAGAAGCAGGGCTAAAGGGTGTGTGTGTGTGTGTGTGTGTGTGTGTGTGTGTGTGTGTGTGTGTGTGTGTGTGTGTGTTGCTCCCATCAACAGCCAATCTATGCCTCCGGGGCCCCACCCATGTGGGTTTTCTGTGACTAAAAAAGGTAAAAGGAGAATATAATGATATAAAGACATGATGACTTCATCCTGGCTCTGAGCGTTCGCTCCTCAGCAGCTTGCAGACGGAGCCCGGCCGCAGGAAAAGAAAAGGAGACTGAGAAAACAAGGGAGGGAGCGGAACTCGGCCCGCTGGCACTGACGTGTGAAATAAAGTTCGGTGTTATGGGTTCTGGAAGGAATACACCGTGAAAGGCTGGAGACGCCACAGGTGAAAACTGTGATTTACGCTTTTCCTGAAATGAAAAGCGGTCCTTTCGCATGAAGTTCTTCATCAAATGAATCCCAGGGAGCAAAATCTGTGTAAGAGCGAACATGAGGAGGGAAATGAACAGGAGTTAGCCTGAAAAACGCCGGTGAGCTCCGGACTAATTACCCACTTCTAACAGATAATCTGGAAAATAAACAGAAAATTTAAACTTTTATACACTTTTGAACTTATTTGTTTATTCTGACATTTCAGTTTTGATAAGTAAAACGCTAAACGCAGAACGTTTCCGATTTGGACTCAAATCCTGTGATATTTCTGTTAAAAACAAAACTGGATTGAAGGGGAGAATCAAGCTTTTCAACCCATTTATATTAATTTTTACCCTTTTTTACATGTTAGGTAAAAAAACAACAACTACCAGCTGATATAAGTCTGCACACGAACATCTTTAACGACAAGGCGCAGAGTGTTAAAGACACCGGCATCAGTGTTCTGTTCGTTGTCCTTTCATGGTATAAATGTCCTTCATGGGAAACGTGAGTTGCGTGTAAACACGAGTGAACGTGTTAGGGAGCGGTGTGGAGGTGTGTGAGTTTTCTGTTCAGTGCTGTGATGAAACACAGGGTTGATTCAGGTGCTGCTGCTAAGGAGTCCTTGTTCTCACAACGAAATAGACTGAAAGGTATAATTGGAGGTGATGAGGAGGAGCGAACTGGGGGGAAGGCGGAGGGAGGGAGGGAATGGAAGTGACGGCAGCAAATCAAGAGTGGAAACGCAGTTGTGATGCAGAAAACTTTGGGCTCTGGAGTTTGACGAGAGGTGACGGACTGATGGTGAGGGGTTAAAGGAAAGAGCAGAGGCGGGAGGAAATGAGGTAGAGCTGAAACGACTAGAAGTCTGCCCGCCTAACAAGCTGCAATTACCCTGCAAACACACACGCTTGGAGCGGTATCTCTATAAATACTGGGGTTACACCGGTCAGTGTTTTCATTTGTGATGATTAGGAGCTCAATCAATAAAAGGTCACAAAAAATATTGTTAAAATACCCAAAAGTTTCACTCACTGTTAAAATAAAGCAGAACTGCACACTATATCTATGTTATTATCATATTTTAAACTGTTCTAAATCACAAATTTCTCTTCAGAGGTCACATTTTTGGGGCCAAAATACAGATTTTTATTTGTCAAACTGTTATTTTTAGTGTTTTACAGATTCAAACAAAGAATTTGGAGCAAACCGTGTCTCTGAGACTGGCTGCTGGTGACAAAAATTGAAAGATTTAATTGAAAATCAATTATTTGACGTAAAACTGGTTCTTCTACTGAGTTAGGGAGCCTTTCAAATCCCTGACAGGAAGTCTCGGGATCTATTGACTAAAATATTCCAGGAAAATCTTGTGAGGAAAACTGTTGACCAGTGCTGCGTTTTGGCGAGTGTGTGCTAAAGCATCACGTTTAAGAGGAAGTTCCTCTACCTTCTGTGGTTGTCATGTGCTGCCCCACAAAACAATGTTGCACCGGCCTTCAACATTACAATCCTGTGAACGAACGAGGCCAAACACACACTCAGCTGGAGCCCACGAGCCCACATGAAACGCCCACAGCAGCATCGGCACCAGCACAAGTGGATAAATCCTCCACTGTGATTATAATCAGGTTTACGTTCCTTCAGCCTGATGAGTGTTGCGTTCTTACAGAGCATCAACACACACGACGTCTACGACCCTTTCAGTGAAGCAGAAAAGACAAAACCCCAGGGGGAGCTCAAAAAAGCCATGGGTCTTTTTGTGTGCCGTTTCCTTTTTCACACACACTAGCGCCATAAATAGCCACCGCTATCAGCACTGTGGGCATTCCAAG